CGGTGTTCTTATCCGTTGAGCCATATCTCCAGACCCCAAAAATGTATTTTTTTAAAAACTTAATGTCTACTTAAGAATACATTCTGGGTGGTGGTATTGTTTTTTGTTTGGATGTGAAACAGTGATTAAAAAAAAAAAAACTTAATTTGACCTTAAAATTCCTAAATATATTAGAATAGCAAATCTCTTGTTAGTTTCAGAATTAAGGTTCCTATGTGATATGCTGTATGGCTTCTCTTTCAAAGATGTTTACTTATGTGCACACATGCCTGCTGCTTGTAGAAACTAGAAGAGGGTGTCAGAACCCCTGGAGCAGGAGGGGCAGTGGTTGTGAGCCACTATATGAGTGTCATGAACTGAACCTAGATCCTCAGCAGGGGAGGCTCTTAACTGCTGAGCCATCCCCTTGCCCCTGGTGTGTCAGCCTGGTCTCCTGGGATAATATAGCTGCCTGTAGTCACCCTGCCTCTTCAAGGAAACAGATGCCTTTGGCATTATCTCTGCAACTGCAGGGTTAATTTGTAAAGATTTTGTGGCTCTCTGTATTTTCTCCACTTTCTTGATTATACAAGGTCTTCCACTGACGGAGGGCACAGGAAGTTTATCTTGGCCAATTCAGTAAGGCAATGTCATATTCCTTTACTCACAAGCATTGTGAGATATAGAAAGGAAATATGTAAAAATAAAAAGAGCCTACGTTTTTTTGTTTGTGTGTGTGTGTGTGTGTGTTGTAGTTAAAATTAATTGTGGCTTTCTACTTCACTTTAGATCACTTAGTTCCCAAAGGACATAAAACCTTTTTATTTATAATAAGCCTTAACAGTACTAGAGCTGAGCAGATGTCAACCTTCTGTGCTATTTTGTCTACCTCCTTATCAGTAACCCCGAGATATTACTTGCCTGGGCCACCCGGACTCAACATGACCCTCATGGCCATGGCCTCAGGATCCACCTACCCTACGGCAGCTTCTTCCTTCTTCTCTCTTCCTCATGGTCTCTGCCTCAGACCTCAAGGAACCAAAGCCATGCCTACCTCTCTTCTGCCCAGCCACAGGCTGTCAGCATCTTTATTTAACCAATAATTTTAAATTAAGGAGCAAAGTTACATAGCATCACTTGGTGTATGTGAGGATTTCCTTGTCCCAGAGTCAACCAGACCTTGGGGCCTAGTATTTAGCCTTACAATACATAGCCACAGACCAAACCTAGACATATGTGTGCTCATATGGCACACATGAGGTCTGAAGATAACTATGGGGAGTAATTTCATTTCCCCCAGCTCATTCATTCAGGCAGCAGCCTCCCAACGGGTAGTAGTAGCCTGGGATTACAGATACACTTCACCACATCTGGCTTTTTGTGGGATGGGGAATCAAACTCGGGTCATCAGGCTTGCCCTTTGGCTGATTTTGCCCACTGAGGTTTTTTTATTTTTTATTTTGGTATAAATAGGAGTAAAAACCCCTTAGGATTACAGCTAACAATAACTATAGCTTTACATTATGCAGAGGGGGGAATCTTATTTATTACTTTATATTATGCATGTCATTAGATTCCATTCTCTTTTAATAGATTAGTTAAAGTTTGTTGTGTTGCTCTGTCCAGGGACAAAAAAAAGGAAATGAAGGGCCGGATGTGGCTCAGTTGGTGTCCTGCATGCCTGGTGTGCATAAGCGTGGTGTAAACAGGGTTTGTTGATACTTGCCTCAAATCCCAGCATTCAGATGGGATCAGAAGTTCAAAGTCATCCTTGGCTACATCAGAGTTCAAGGCCAGCCTGTGCTATAAGAGACTCCATCCTCTGTCCACCTGACTCTCCCCATAAAAATGTGGCTCTGTCTCAAGAAAGGAAGTAAAATGAAAGGGATTGATAAATTATTTCTCCGCAGGTGAAATGAGCCCATTCAAGTCAGATTAAAATATGTATAAATAGATTTATTGGGAAACTGCTCTCTGGTGGACAAGTTCACTGGCTCTAAGGAAAGAGGCTAGGGAAGCCACCATGGGGAGGGAGACAGAAAAGAAAGAGAAAGAGAGACATTTGTAAAGAGAAGGAAAAGGGTGTGTGGGAGGGCCTGGAAGGATCAGCTAGTTGTCTGGATTCTACTTAGAAGAGCCCATGGGGGAAGGGCATCCAGGACCCTGGATTGGAAAGTTCAGGATTAGGGGTGGGGTATACCAGGTAGGGACTGAGGGATGCCGAAGACCCTGGAGGCCAGGTCTGCTTGGGTATGTAAAATATGTACCTCAGCCCCTTGGGCCTGAAACCAAATAAGGATCAGTAAGCAGGGCAGAGAGATATTAAGGAACACCTAAGGATGAGAGTATATTTCTTGTAACTTTAGAAGAGACATCATGTTTTTTTTAAATATTTATTTTATGTATATGAATACACTGTAGCTGTCTTCAGACACACCAGAAGAGGGCATCAGATTCCATTACAGATGGCTTTGAGCTACCACATGGTCGCTGGGAATTGAACTCAGGACCTCTGGAAGAGCAGTCAGTGCTCTTAACCGCTGAGCCATTTCTCCAGCACCAAGATACATCATTTTAATAAGGAAGAAATTCCTTTGTATAATAGAAGAAAAAAGTTTGCTTTATTTTTCCAGAATAGAAAAGGGACGATGAGGGTAGGGCCGTGCCAGAGAACTTTAACTTAATGCAGAAGTAGGTCACACAAGATTAGTGGAAGACTCAGCTCTCTTTTTTTTGTTTGTTTGTTTTTTTGAGACAGGGTTTCTCTGTGTAGTCCTGGCTGCTGGCTGTCCTGGAACTCACTCTGTAGACCAGGCTGGCCTCGAACTCAGAAATCTGCCTGCCTCTGCCTCCTAAGTGCTGGAATTAAAGGCATGCACCACCACCACCCGCCCAAGACTCAGCTTAAAGAATAGTTAAAAAAAAAGTTACTGTGTGGATAAAAGAAAAAAAAAGGGAAAATACATTTCCAAAAAATGATCTATGCGAGATTATCAAAAATCATTAAAATTCCTATGGTACAGAGAGCAGAAGAGGGTGTCAGAACCCCTGAGACTAATAGAGTTACAGATGGTTGAGTCTAATTATGGTTGCTGGGAATTGGACTCTTTGGTCCTCTAAAAGAGTTGTCAGTGTTCTTAACTACTGAGTCATCTATCCAGCCCCATTTTTCTTTTTTTATCTATTCACTTTACATCCTACTCACTGTCCCTCTCCCCCATCATCTCCTCCCACAGCCTTCCACCCTACCCCCTCCCCTTCTCCTCCTTTGGGCAGATGGGTCCTCTCTTGGGTACCCTCCCCCCCTGGTACTTTCAGTACCCCTGACTGAGGTCCAACAAGGTAGCCCAGCTAGAAGAACATATCCCAAGTACAGGCAACAGCTTTTAGGATAGCTCCTGCTCCAGTTGGTTGGGACCCACCTGAAGGTCATCTGCTACATCTGTGCAGGGAGGCCTAGGCCCAGCCCTTGTATGTTCTTTGGTTGGTGGTTCAGACTCTCAGAACTCCAAGGGTCCAGGTTAGGCAGGTGAAAAATAGATTGTGAGCCATGGAAATGCAAAGGAGGATGTCGAAGGGAACTGGTGTGTGTGTGTGTGTCTGTGTGTGTGCGCGCGAGTGTGCATGCAGGGCAGGGAGTGGGGGCAGGCAATCATGTTGGGGTGGGGGAAAAAGCAAAGAAAAAAATCAAATTATATTTGAAAACTAGTACTTCCTATTGTCATGTAAAAAGAAAGCAAAGGAGGAGGAAGAAAGGAAGAAGGAAGGAAGGAAGGAAGGAAGGAAGAGCATCTACTCAAGAATGGAAGGTGATACTTGATGCTATCTAAAAAGCAAATATGGACGTCTCAGGACTAGAAGAGGGAAGGTGTGAATGTTTGTCAGGAGTTAGGAGAAGTTCTCCCTTTCTTTGTATCCTCGCTATGGGGAAAGGGAGAGGCTAGAGCAGTTCTCAAGTAGACCAGGCTGTCCTGAAACTCCAGGTGCAACTGAGGCTGACCTTGAATTCTTGATTCCTCTTGGCAGGGACTTTCCTTTGAGCTGGGACTACAGTCATAGGCCACCAGGCTCTGCTACTTTTTGTCCTGTGCTCCAAAGAAACCCTATGACCCTGGGTAGATAAACGGGCCTTCAGCCTCACCACATCCCTCAATCCAAGATGAGGGTTATAGCTTAGTACACTTTGCAAACATCAAGGGGCAGGGTGCAGTTATGAGATACATTTACAGCTGGGGAAGGGTTGAGTGATCTGGCTAAAGTCACAGAGACATTGGAAAAGGATTTGACCTTTTATACCACCCCATTTTGAAACTTTCCAAAAACATGAGCTCTCACCGTTTTAAAAACACAACCAAAATCATCCAAATATACCCTCCACTTTCCCTTCCTCCTCTCATTTCCTACCCACCCCACCAGCTCCCAGCTCCTTATCTTCTCTCATACTATCCAATACTGTGCCTTCCTAACCTTGTGACTTTGTGAGGCTGTGTACACCCAGGGAAGAGACGGGAGCCTGTTGCTGTTTACACCCAACTCTAGGCTAGGCGAACAAGTAAGTACAGTCTAAGATTTATAGCTATTTTAGTTTTGTTTTTTAAGACAGGCTTTCTCTGTGTAGTCTTGACTGTCCTAGGATTGACACCCCCCACCCCATAAAAAAAAATAGCAATCATCTTACAGTCTTCTAAACTGTTCCCAACCAAGTTCATTGCAGGAAGTGAGAATGTGACTGTGTTGGTCCACACGACATTCCCAGGCCTTGTTCCAGGGCCCTGGGTAATTCTTTTCTAAGAAGCAGAATAAGCTTCCAGGTTACGTGGAGCACATTTCAAGGTGAGAGGTCATAATGCAATGGGATCCTGTCTGGAGGTAGATAGGTAAAGAGAATCCTAGACAGAGCAGAGGCTGTGGCTCTAAGTTTGTTTCTGGATTGAGAAAGGATGTCTTAATCCTTGACCCTAAAAAGTGTCTTGTCTTGGACATTTCCTCAGCATCCTCTGTCTCCCTACAGATCTGTGAAGATGAGCTTGCGGTCCACACCCACACTCCTGCAGCTAGCAATGCAAAGTCTGATGAGGGATGAGGCCTTGGCCATCTCTTCTCTGCAGGACCTGCCCATGGAGCTCTTCCCACCACTCTTCAACGATGCCTTCACCCACAAACGATTTAACATCCTGAGGAAGATGGTGCAGGTTTGGCCTTTTCCGTGTCTCCCACTGGGTGGTCTGATGAAGATGAAGGCATCGTATCTGGATATCTTACAAACCGTACTGGAAGGGATTGATGCACTGCTTGACCAGAATATTCACCCCAGGTGAGAGAGACTCTGAAGGGAGGCCTGGGAGTCTAGGATAGAGAGAACAGAGAATGGAAGGAAGGTTGTAAGCTTATGTCGGCTTCAGTGATGAGGATTTCATAGGCCGTTGGACCGTTGCTGAATATCTAGGGAAAGAATTTGAGTGTTTAGGACTATTTAGGACAGACATAGGGATGGCTGAAGATGCCTGCCCCGCCTTTTCCCATAGGCACTAGTAGTGGGACCAGACTGGATTCAAGAGGAAGGGATGAAAAACATCAGGATAAATAGGAGCATAGGTTTAGGAAAGTAATGTTGGGAGTAAGGAGTCCTTGCAGATCTGGATTGGTAGTGCTAGCCTGTAATTTCAAGCCTCTGACTTTGAAGCAGCAGGACTGCATTTTGATGCCAGTCTGACCTTTGTAGTAAGAGTGAAACCCTGTTTCAGAAAATGGAAACAAAGTGTAACGGGGGAGGATGAATTCCTGTCTTAAGTGTAAGACTTCTACTTTCTCTCACAGTAGTTACAAACTGCGAATTCTGGATTTGCGGGCTTTGCACAAGGACTTCTGGACTGTTTGGGCTGCAGATACGATGGCATCTTGCAATCCGGAGGCCAAGAGTAAGAGAAAACCACAAAGGAGAGGTCCGAAGATACTAACCAAGCCAAACTCGTTGCAAGTGTTTATAGACCTGTTCCTCAAACCAAGAGCCTTGAATACGTGCCTGTCCTATGTCTTCCAGTGGGTAAGAGAGAGAAAAGCTTTGCTGCAGCTTGTCTGTAAGAAGCTGAGGATCAACACGGTAGGTATCCCGAGCATCGTGACGGTTCTGGAAGTGCTGGACCTGGACTGTGTGGAGGAAGTGGAAGTGTGCTGCGCCTGGAAGCTGTCCACTCTGGCTGTCTTTGCTCCTTACCTGGGCCAAATGAAGAATCTTCTCACGTTCATTCTCTGTCGCATCCACGTGCCTGATTCTGTTACCCCTGAGGAGAAGCAGCAGTTGGTCAGCCAGGTCGGATCTCAGTTTCTCAACCTGCAGTGCCTCCAGGATCTCTCCCTGGACTCCATCTGCGTCCTCAAAGGTGAAATGGACCAGCTGTTCAGGTGAGGGAGGATGGTGAGCATTCCCTGAAGACCACAGCAAAGCCTTTTTCTTGTAGGAGTAATTTAATGATGTAACCTGAGCTAGGGTTGTCTATTTTGACAGTGGGGAAAGGAGATGCAGGGCTGTGAACTGAGTTAGTCCTGCAGTGATAATGCCATGCCTTAAGTTACAATGAGTAACTGAAGTGAACAGACTCTTTTTATTATTATTATTAAATTACTTTATTTATTTACATTCCAAAAGTTGGTTCCCTCCCGGGTCTTCCCCCCCCCTCAAGTTTTCTTCACCCACCTCCCCTAACCCATCCACCCCCACCTCTGAGAGGGTGCTTCCGCATCCAGCCACCTATCCCCACATCATCCCCACCAGCATCCCTCTCTCCTGGGGCATCAAGTTTCCACAGGATTAAGCTCATCTTCCAGAGACTCCATACAAGGCAGTGCTCTGCTATACATGTGCCTGGGACCATGAAACAGCTCCTTGGTTTTTGGCTTAGTCTCTGGGAGCTCTGAGGGGTCCCAGTTAGTTGACACTGTTGTTCTTTCTATAGGATTGCAATCCTCTTCAGCTCCTTCAATCCTTAATATAAGTCTTCCATATTGGTACCTGACCTCAATCCAATGGTTGACTATAAGTATCTCACTGTGGATATCAGCCAAAAAGTTCAGAATACCCATGATATAACTCACAGACCGTAGGAAGACAGAAGGAAGGCCCAAGTGTAGATACTTCAATCCCACTTAGAAGGAGGAACAAAATAATCAGGAGGAGAGGCAGAGGGAGGGAGTAATTGGGTGGGAGAGGGGAGGTGGGAGGGGAAAAGGAAAGTCAGCATCAGGAAGGGCAGGATCAGGTATAAGGAGAGACAGGAGGGATGCCCAGAGGGCCAGGAGAATGAATTGAAATATGCAGCAGTAGGGATTAGAGGGCAGGGGGAACCTCTAGAAAGTCCCAGAGACCTGGGATGTAAGAGGCTCCAGGACCCAATGGGGATGACATTAGCTAAAATGTCCGACAGTGTAGAGATGGAACTGGAAGAAACCACTTCCAGTAGATAGACATGGCCCCCAGTAGAGGGATGGGACCACCCAGCCATCTTAAAATTTTTAACCCAGAATTGTTCCTGTCTAAAGGAGATGCAGGGACAAAAATGGAGCAGGGACTGAAAGAAAGGTCATCCAGTGACCTGGCCCAACTTAGGATCTATCCCATGAGCACATACCAAATCCTGAAACTATTACTGGGGCCGTATTGTGCATGTAGACACAAGCCTTGCATAGCTGTCCTTTGAGAGGCTCTACCAGCAACTGAGTAAGCAGACTCTAAGAGGCATCATACTAGGTAGTGATGCTTATCAGGTGGCCAGAATGACCTTAGAGAAAATGATCCACTCTCCCTAGGCCTCCCTAACCTAACCACTACTACTTGTGACCACTAACTACTTGGTCTCTCCCTAGGTGCCTGGTGGCCCCCTTGGAGATCCTGTCTATCACTGATTGCCAGCTGTCGGAATCAGACTTGAAGTCCCTGTCTGAGAGTCCAGGCATCCGACAGCTCAAACACCTGAACCTGAGTGGTGTCAATCTGACCAACTTGAGTCCTGAGCCCCTTTGCGCCCTGCTGGAAAGAGTTGCACCCACCTTGAAGACCCTGGACTTGGAGAACTGTATGATTATGGACTCTCAGCTCAATGTCTTCTTGCCTGCCCTGAGTCAGTGTGTTCAGCTCATCATGTTCAACTACATAAGGAATCCCATCTCCATGGCTTTTCTGGAGCGCCTGCTCTACCACACTGCCAAGCTGAGCTGCTTAAGCTTGGAGATGTATTCTACCCCGTGGGAGATTTATGGTGCCCAGGGTGCTCTCCACCATAGGAGGCTAGATGAGCTGCGAGAGGAGCTGAGCAAGACAATGATGAATCTAGAACACACCAGGACGGTCTGGTTCAGTGTCGCACCCTGTCTTCCTCCTGACAACCAGGCCATATGAGTCAGAGCCCAAGCTACATCAGGCAGGGCTGGTCCCCTAACTGGGTACTTGTGTGGCAAGTGAGTCCTTGTAGCTCTTGGGAACAGAATCCTTTAGTATAGATGATTCCTAAAGGAAACACAGGACATGTGATCTCAGGGTGGGGGGGTGGGGGTGGGGATAGGGGTGGGGGATCAGTTGAGCAGCAATGGCAACCTCATAAATGTTGACCTAAGATGTTGATGTCCTTTGGGACATGTGTATTCAGCAATAAGAGGTTAAGTTTCTAGATGAAGAAACCCTTGAGGGTGTTTACATCATGCATTGGGGAAAAGAAGGTTGCCAATGTATTCTTCCCCACTTTAGGCTATAGGGTAAATGGAACACATCATGTTACAGCTTCCCAGACCTGAAGTAGCCACTGGCAGCCACCACCTTAATCTCCAGCTCTGAGCCCTAAAGAATTTGCCCACCAGCAGTCCCATCCATCCAAGAAGGCTACAGTTCTGCTCAGAGGGCAGTTGTCAGTGTAGAGTCTAAACAACTTCACTGAGGAATGCAAAGAGCTTTGAGATGGTGCTGCCAGGTGCTGATGACCACCACAAACAAAGTGGGAAGGGATAGTCTTAAACCATATACCATGCTTGAAAACCAGTAAAGCTGACAAGACAGTAAAGTAGCGTTATTTGTTAGTCCTAAGGTACCTAAGTTACAGCTGGGCACCATGCACAGATTTATCACCTGACCTCCACCTGACCACCTGACCTTTGGTCTCCAGATGATTCAGACTTCTTGGTTTAAGTGGCTGGCCCTATTGCACTGTGGGTGGGTAGCTTTATTAGTAATATACTGCTGGGGATTAAATGTAGGACTCTGTACATGCTAGGCAAATGCTCTACCACTATGAACCTTTAAATCCTTACACTGCTGTGTATGTGTTGGATGTAGGGGAATTTTCAGTGTTTAAATAAACGAGTGACAAAGAAGCCTTCTTGTTGTCTGTTTTGCTTTTGTTGTTGTTTATTGGTTTGTTTTTGTTTTTGGAATGGAGTCTCTACATAGACCAGGCTTCATTGGAACTCACTGTGTGTGGACTAGGCTGACCTCAAACTTCCAGAGATCTTCCTGCCTCTGCCTCTCAAGAGCTGGGTTTAAAAGCTACACCACCATGACTAGCAAGAAGTCTTAATATCAATAGTCCATGCTGACTCCTGATAATCCTCCTGCCTTATCCCCCACTACCATCACCACATGTGTTTGGTTATAAGAGTGATCCAGCACATATGGCTTGGGATGGTGTGGTTTCAACAATTCATTCCCATTCTTGACATCCCACCTGGGCGTCTGTGACCACTCTGAGTTCGTACACACAAGGTGATGTACCTTGGATGTGCAATGGAGATCTATTCTTCAGAATAAAGTTCGTTTGGGAATGACAGGAATACTGCAGCTTGAGATGTTCCTGGGTGGCCAGCATGAGTGTATTCAAGGGAATGAGGGGATGCATTCAAAGGGAAGCAAAATGCAAGTTACCCACTTTGGGAAAGGTTCACTGATCGCATGGACTTGTGGCAGGAGTCGACACTAATTCTTTGGTGACTCTGCAGCTCTGATCAGGCACACAACCCTCCTGCAAGCTGCTTCTTTGAAACAGGGTGGCTATGTGTGAGTCAACGTCCTCTGCACCTGTGCTGTTATGCCCGATCCTCCATCTCTATGCATTTCCCTGAGAAGACTGCTCAAGGAGAAATCCAAACTTAGGTGATAAGCTGCCAAGTGTGTCTCCTTGTTCCTGTTTTGATCCTTGTTCCTGTTTTTATTCCTGTTCCTGTTTGTGTTCCTGTTTTGTGGGGAGTATAAAAGGGGTCTACACAGTTGAAAATATAGCATTTGGTTCTTTACCAGGTGACTCTTTGTCTTTCTTTCTCTCGCCCTCAGCCCTCCGCCGATCCAAGGAACTCAGTTAGCTATGCTGGCGTAGCTGACAGCTATGAAGAATTCTCACAGGCACAGTGCTCTATTCTTGTATCCTGTCTTCACTTTAGGAGAGTTTGACATCAATCAATCCATGTGAATATAGGTAACTTCCACCAGGGCCCACACAAATCCTTCCCATACAGTGAAGGGGGCTCCCAGCTAGCTAGAGCCTCTAGACCTCCCCAAACCATGTCTACCAACCTACTCGTTTACAATCTTTAGCCTAATCTAGTTGTGGTTGGTATAAAGGACTCTATTCCCTTTTAGTCTAGTACTAAGATCACACCAGCATGGAACACTTTAAGGTTCTATCATATTAAAATTATTGTATCCTTTTGGGACTCGATCACATTAATGAAAAATCTTTCTACACGATGAGTTCTTGCACTTCCTATAAGAAAAACAAACCACTTCTTTCTATTACTACTGACAAGACGTCAAATAGCCTAGGCTGGCCTTAAACTCCTGTAGCCAAAGATGATCTTCTGACATCCTTTGATCTTTACCTCCCAAGTGCTGGGATTGCAGGTATGTGCATTAGGATTGTGTGGTACTAGGGATCAAACCTAGGGATTCATGCACACCACTGAGCTGCCCTAAAGCAGCCTTGGTTTCTTTTGTTTTACTTGTGAAAGTGTTTTGCCAGAATGCCATGTGAACCATGTTTATGCAGTGCCCACCATGGCCAGCAGAGGGCACCAGATCTCCCGGAAACTAGGAGCTGCCATGTGGGTTCTGAGAACTGAATGTAGGTCCCCTGAAAGAGCAGCAAGTACTCCTAATTACCGAGCCATCTCTCCAGCTCTCCCACCCACCCTCATATAGTTTTTAGATGCTCTTGTGATCCAAGGATGAACAATAACAAGGTGCCTGTGTGCAAATATAGCTCTAAGTAAAAGAGTCCCCCAGCTAAGGCCTAAGGGTTATGGGCTGGGGATCTGAAATATGAGCCCTAGTTCAGCATCAATGGAGGATATCAATCCATATCTAGCTGATGGGCCCTTCTAGGAGCCAATGTACTGATGCTCATTAAAGGCTTAGTATACTGGGAGTTCAGTAAGTGTATCTCTTTCTTCATCCCTCTCCATGCTTCAGTTAGTCCTCTACGTCTGATTCTGATAACGGGAGGAAGGCAGAGACACAGGTACAAAATGGGACTGGACTCTGATATGTGACCACCATTAAATCGGTGCTCAGCCCCAAAGCAGAGCACACATTTAGTGCTCTTTAGTGATCTTAAGAAGCTGTGGGATTTGAGTGCCATCTTCTGGTAGGCCAAACCATACAACATACAACATAAGTTAACATTAGAAGAAGTAAATGGTTTTTTTTTTTGTTTTTTGTTTTTTGATTTTTTTTAATCTGTCATTGAGTAGCACACATGGTGGTCTATGCCTTTAGTCTCAGCACTCAGAAAGCAGAGGTAGGCTGATCTCTTTGAGTTCCAGGCCAGGCTGGTCTATAGATGAGTTCTAGGAAAGCTAGAGCTATACCAACTCTGTCTCCTCTCCTCTCCTCTCTTCTCCTCTTCTTTCTCTCTCTCTTTCTCTCTCTCTCTTCTCCATTATTAAGTCAGTGCTATTGGGTGTGAATAGTTGTGCTATGATTTACATTAAAAAATTCTCTTAACGTTTTTGTTTTGAGACAGGATCTCATTTTGTAGCCCTGGCTGGCCTGGAAGTTGCTATGTCTACCAGGTTGCCCTTGCCTCTGCCTCCTGAGCACTAGCTTAAAGGGGTGTCCCCGCCCCAGTGTATCTTTTTAAAATGATAAAAGTAGTTTACTGATTTTCAATAATGAGTGCGTGTGCCCACCTAAAATGATAAAGGAAGTTTAGTTCTCTTAATTAATGCAATGCAGATGAAAATATGTTAAACTTTGTTTACTTTTTGAAAACCAGTGGGACATTTTAAAAAGCAAAAATAGATTTTTAAAGACCAATGCACAAGCATTGTTCCAGTCTTAAAAAGTCATCTGGGTGTGGTGCTCACAGCTGCAATCCCAAAAGGATCTCAAAACTGAAACCAGAGGCTAAAGAGTTCTAGGTCAGCCTGGGCCTGAGTGAGACTCTCAAACAAACAAAGTATTTAGAGGTAGAGGAGAGTCAGTTCAAGCGAGTTCTTAGTGCAGTCAAATCTGGGCTGCATTAGACAGGCACAACCAAACAAAATCTTCAGTGGGGCCACTGACCACTGATGTGGCACAGTGCGCAAAGGCACTTGCTGTGGGCAAGCCTGGTGAACAGTGTTTGATCCCTAGAACCCATGGGAGGGCGGGAAAGCATACCTGCCATGACACACACACACACAAATAAATTGAATACTTAAAGAAAAACCTTCAGTTCTTCAGAGAGTTAACCCTCCTTTCCCCCAGTTCGAATCGACTGTGGACTTTTTAATGACCTCTTATTTTTATCATTTTCATGGAGCTTTTGTTGTCTGTCGTTTTTCTTGCAAAGAGTCTCCCAGCGCAGGCCTAGCTGTCCTGGAACTCACTCTTTAAGCCAGGCAGGGCCTCAACCTCACAACATCCGCCTGCCTTGGTTTCTCAAATGCTAGTAATTAATTAAAGGTGTGAGCCAAGGAGCCTCACACCATGTGACATTTTTAAGTTGTCTTTCTTACTCAGGTTTGTTCTCATCTTTTCCTAGCTTGAAAACAGTCCGTTGTCTGTGCCAGCTGACTGCAGCTACTGACAGGAGAATGTGATTCAATCGCCTCCCTACCCCCACATCTGTGGCAATCCAACCTGTTGGTTAGGTGGAGGTTGCCCCTTAACAGGACAGGGAGTTTTGTCACTTTGTGGTCTCTCAGCTGGTACCTGGTAGCAGTTGCTGCTTTAATGGACAGTGGAATTCTTTGCAATCAAGATGGACATTTCACCTTAACTTGGTCACACACAGGCATGCACCCATGTAGTACATTCAGGAGGCAGACACAGGGAAGCATACGTGTCCCCAGCTAGCCTGAGTTGCTTAATTAAACTGATTTGGGCTGCAGAGATGCTTCAGTGAATAACAGTACTGGTTACCACCCTTGCAAAGG